AAATGAAGTGCGGCGCACTGTCCAGAACGACGAGCTAGCCGACCATTTCACAAAGGTGATCATTCCATCGTTCCGCTACGGCAGGGCGACACACGCCAGTCTGCAGTGGCTCCGCGACAACACGGCCACCGCCGAGCACATGGCTGCTGATCCACTTTGGGCCGGCGCTGTCACACTGCACGGTAACCATTGGTTCAGCGAGCTGGCCGTGAATCGTGCTACCGTCGAGTCGGACAACGCCAGGGCGCTCGTTCGCTTCGCCAACGAGCGTGACACGCCGGTAATGGCCGTGAACGCACAGCATTTACCGACGAAAAAAGCAGCCCGACTGCAAAAGGTGTCACCCAGAGAGTTCCGCAGCATACCGGCAGTGTTCTTTGCGTGCAGTGGTCTGCCGCTTATGCTGTTGGAAAACGTGGCACCCAGTGTCGGTCTGTTCAATGGCGCTCACGTCGAGTTCGTCGGACCGCTGTACTTGGAGGATGACTGGCAGGTAACACTGTCCAGCTGTGAGTACAGAGAAAGGGTGCGAACCAGTGGCGTCACGCTGACCACTCCGCTGGACACGCCGGCCTCGGACCGTGAGCGTATGTACCAGGTTCCCGTGGGCAGTGTCATTGTGAAGGTCAACGGTCACACGGTCGACGGCGATGAGCATCGTCTCGACGAGCTGGTTGCGGCGTCTAGCACCGTCCAGCTGGTATTTCACACGCCAAAGCACCCGCCTCATCTGCCCGAGTTCATTGTGGTGCGTGTTCCAAACTACACCGAGAATCGTGGCCCAAATATCCTCGGCATCGAAGATGCCGACGATCTGGTGCCAATACGGATGGTAAAGCGCGCCCGTGACAAGGGCAAAAACAATCGGGCGATAGGCGGCGGTGAAGAGAGTCGGACCGAGTTTCGTGTTGGACCGCCGCTGGAGGGCGGCAGCGCATTCACCGGCTTTAAAGGCCAGGGCGCCACGCTGGATCGAGTGGTGGCCAAAGTGAAAGCGTGGGTAGAGACGCCCGGCTTCTGGACGGTGGTGGTGTCGCGTGTCAGACACCCACATCACCTGCACATTCCCACTGACCAGTGGCCAACTGTCGAGGAGATTCAGGTTCAGCGTCTGAATCCAGACGTGCTGGAGGCCGAGATTTTCGAGCGCCAGATGAAAATAAATGCCGCAAAGACGTGGCGTCACTTTGTGGCTGCCGAGAATGACGGCGAGTGGAGTAGCGCCGATAATGTCATCGGAGACGCTGTCCACGTGGCTTGGAGGCGGCTGCACACACGCGACGTGGCCTCTATTGTGTGCGACGAGCTGCATGCCAAGGGAGTGGACGTGTCTGTAAGTGACGTACAGCACGTCGTCCAGAAAATGTCGCACACCGACGAGGCACTGATCCTTGCCGATCATATATATCTCACCTCACGGCAGCACTGCTGTCTTGTGCGGAGTAAAATACAGCGTGGACGACGACGACCCACAACCACCAAACCGTCTAAGCGGCCAGCCTCCACGTCTGCTGGTCGGGGCCGGCGTGGTAAGGGTCGCCGCATCTCGTAAAAGTGGACACTACGCATCGCTCATGGATTTTCCGTGTGTTTAACTGGCGCCAAAGCAAGCTGTTTCAAAAACATCAAGTTAGGTGAGGTTGAATACAGTTGTGTACTGTTGCTTCGTATTTTTGGTCCTTGCAGACACATAATATTCAAAGTAACTCAAAATGTTTGTTTAACAGCAGCGGGGAGTGGTGTGACCCAGTGGGCAGTAATTAAACTGGTATTAACGTAATCGGGTCACATGGGCTTGGAAGGGCACTCCTGCATGCCTGCTCGCCATGCACAGTTGACTGGTTTGGCTATTTTTGGCCATTGCTTATCAGTTTTAGTGGCGGGTTTTCGAAGGCATGGGACAAAATTATAAGCATGGATTTTTTTTTATTCGCCGCATCGTTTCACCTTGAAACAAGTGCACTAATTGTGGCCCAATTTTCCCCAAGATTACATAGATTTGTACTTTGTAGTGTTTACTCAAATTGCGTTCATTTCATCAATTCAATAAGTGGGTTATTCTAAGCAAATATAAACTACTAAAAGTGCGCCTTTACACGCCACTCCGTCAGATTTTCAAAACATTTTGATAAACAGTATGCGCGACAGGCCAGATGTTGTATCATGTGGAATGACCCAAGTCTATATCGCATCACGGACATGCAAAATATACATAAATTTATCTAAAATGAAATAAACATATTTGTGACTTTCCACGGTTGATGCTCTCTAAAATACGATGGTAATTTCAATTTATAATTTATTCAGGGTACTTCTTGGAAGCATCCCGTACATTTCTGACTTAGATAACACGGAAAATCTAGAGTGATGTCACATTGTCCAACGCAACATGCTTCACTGGCCGTCAGCAAAGAGAGTCCAGCTCGCTGTGGTAACGGTAAGGCACCAGGCTGCCAACCGTACCGGCAATCTCTCCAATTGGTAGATTGTCCGCCATTAACATCAACGAGACTCTTCGAGACTGGGCGCCGGGACGACGTGGTACGGAATGGGCACCATGCTGTCCGCCGTACCGGCAATCTCTCCAATCGGTAGATTGTCCGCCATCAACATCAACGAGACTCTTCGAGACTAGACCTGGGCCCCCGACGTGGTACGGAATGGGCACCATGCTGTCCGCCGTACCGGCAATCGGTAGATTGTCCGCCATCAACATCAACGAGATTATTCGAGACATGGGCCGTCGACGTGGTACGGAATGGGCACCATGCTGTCCGCCGTACCGGCAATCTCTCCAATCGGTAGATTGTCCGCCATCAACATCAACGAGACTCTTCGAGACCGGACCTGGGCCCCAAGGCGACGTGGTACGGAATGGGCACCATGCTGTCCGCCGTACCGGCAATCGGTAGATTGTCCGCCATCGACATCAGCGAGATTATTCGAGACATGGGCCGTCGACGTGGTACGGAATGGGCACCATGCTGTCCGCCGTACCGGCAATCTCTCCAATTGGTAGATTGTCCGCCATCAACACCAACGAGATTCTTCGAGACTTCGAGACCTTCGAGACCAAGGGCTTGCTAAAAATCCCAGCATATCTACTTTGGTACGGTGTGGGCACCTGGCTGTCCGCCGTACCGGCAATCTCCCCGATTGCCCGCCCTTGCTGCATAGTAAATCCCTGTTGCTGGGGAGTGTGGTGGCGTGCACACACCACACATTGCAAAGAAGATCTGCCCGTGGTTGCTTAGTCTTGCGCCTGTGCTTGTACGGCTCCACAGCTGGGCATCATCGCCGTGGTTGTGGACCGAGCTCCCACGCTAACCACGAAGGCAGGCTGGCTGGGTCGTTCGTGCGGCGACATGCGTCACCTCTTGATTCAAATAACAAATTTAAAGGGACCCTCTCACCTCTAAAAGTTAAAAGTTAAAGTCTCACCTCTAACCTAAAAGTTAACGAATTGGCATGAAAGAGATGTATCTTGGTTCAGAAAGAACAAACATGAATATCCACCAAATTTCACTTAAAATATTGCTCGTTTTTTTTTGGGGGGGGGGCCATAAGCAGACTGGTTATTGATTCATCTTTTTTGGATCGATTCAATCATTGATTCATTTGTTTTTTGTTTGATTCAATCACTGTTCGATTCCTTCCAAAAATTTGGTGAATCGATTCCTTTTGATTGAGAGAATAAAAAAGGAATGATTCACGTTTGATTCAGCCAAAAAGTTATTGAACGATTCTTTTTTGATTCGATTTAAAAATAAAGATAAATATCAGGGATAGTATTGTATTTGTTGTGTTCTTTTTGTTGGTATGCAACTATCAGCACATGGCAGTAGTGTTAACATTTGTTGATGAACTATGTTCGCTTCATTTTTTTTAAGGTTCATGAATCGTTAATTTGTTTGATTCAATCAACCCTGATTCCCAATGCGTTTGATTCAATCATGGCTTGTGAATCAAACCATCCGGACGGTGAATCAAACCTTTTTGATTCAACAAATTTTGTTTGATTCAATCCAATCGATTCAATCACGGTGAATCAAACACCAGTCTGGACATAAGACTTTAACTTTTTTCCCTTTCCGGGGCCTTACCTGTTCCTATGACGTCATTTGGAAGCAATAATGTGGTATCTTGAAAGCGCGGGAAATGTCACGCGCAATTTAGTATCTATAAAACCATGGCAAAAATTGTCTTACCAAAGTTTAAGTAAATCGGTGATGTCAACATTAAGAGGGGGCATCCAAATGCATTAGCCCCTCTGAATCCAAAGTGCTGCAACTTTGAATCTAAATATTTTCGATCTAAGGCATTTCTCGATGTTGCGAGTGTCGAAACCGGTGATTTCCAGCCAAGGACCCCAATTTGGGTATCTCAACTCAAAACTAATGTTAACGTGAGAGGGTCCCTTTAAAGGGACCCTCCCACCTTAACATTAGATTTGAGTTGAGATAGCCAAAATGGGGTCCCTGGCTCACAATTACCAGTTTCGGCACTCACAACATCGAGAAATGCCTCAAATCGGAAATATTGAATTTCAAAATTGCAGCAGTTTGATTCCGAGGGGCTAATGCATAGGAATACCCCTCTGAATGTGTGACGTCATCGCAGATATCTAACGAATTTTAAATGTTTGACTAAAACGTTTTGTAGCACGTGGTGGTATATGTTGCTTTGAGCTGCCGAACTATTGCTTCCAAATAAAGTCGCTAGGAACAGCGGAGATCCCAAAAAGTAAAAACAAAAGTAAAAGTCCAATATCTTGAAAACCGGTGAATATTTTTCGGTGAAATTTGGTAGATATTCGTTTTCGCTCTTTCTGAACCGAGCGACATCACTTTCATGCCAATTCATAAACTTTTTTGAAGGTGGGAGGGTCCCTTTAATCGTATTTGTGTTAATTAACGTATTCTGTCAAATACCGGCGTCCTACTTTGGTGCCGTCCATTCTTAAAATCATCAGTTCACTTGCAGACGATGATTAGAAGCTTTGCTTCCAATGAAATGCACGAAGCAATGACTGCATAATGCATTCTTTGTTTTAAAAACAAAACTGTGCAATAAAAATTGCACAAAACTTGTTCGATATCTAATCTACCTTTGGTGGCTTCAGCTTACCTGACAGTTCATTTATGTATCCACATTGCTAGGAAGCATATCATCCGTCTAATCCAAACATAAACTATTCTCGTTGTTGAAACTGGTGACGCACAAGCTGACGTAACGTTAGTGGAGACTTCATCTCAAAAAACAGCCTGCATGGGCTAAAATCCCGGGGGGCGCGTATGGCTCGTATCATTTGCGAGGCACGCGACGGGAGCCTTGAGGAGCTTTCCATGCTAGAGCGCCTCTAAACCCAGGTCTCACTTGGAGATCGATCTCACTCGGAGATCATGAGTCTGTTGTAGAGTGGCGTCATTTTACGTCCAGTCCACCGAACCAGTGTGCACAATTGCTGGCGGTGGATACCAGACTCCCCCCACGGGTCGTCATGTGCGAGGCAAGGTCGGGGATAAGATATCACGGCAGCAATTGAAGATAAAATTGAGTTTATTCATGTAAATGCTATTAGGCTGCTACATTTGCACAATGAGTGAGTGCAAAGCTTCTCTTTAATTGATATTTATCATTATCCAAGCAGACTATTGCCTGATACGTCTGAGTCTACATTCACTTCATCCAGGAAAATGCTTCAAAATCGCGTTTTTCGTCGGTAAATAGCATTGCAACCTTGCGTCAGTTGACACAAGCTTTCACTGCCGCATCCGGAATCTCAGTGCATAGGTGTCTATGCATCATGAGCTTAGGTATTGTTTCCTTTTTCGTTAGATCATGCTTCAACTTATAGCGCTTAATCGTTCATGCCAAACAAAGTTTGCGGACTTGTGATATATTTCCTTCAACAAATGTCCGTCAAATGAGGCTACAAATGAGCTGCTTTCTTCTGCCAATTATGTTACTATAGCACGTTGCTAATGGAAGGTGGTTATGAATAAGACTATTTGCAGTTGTGCCTCATCATCACTTATTTGCCAAATGCAATTTCAATTGCTGCTGTTATCCCCGGCTATAGTGTCTACGGTGGCGAGCTTTCTCCGCGGACCTTCAACTTCAAGACCTTCTACTTCAAGACCTTCAATTTCTAGACAACTAAAGGGATATTCTCGTCATACTGTACTCTCGATGACCTGCATGTCGGGCGTGCCATGTCCTGAGGAGCGTTGTTTTCAATACCCTCAGTGCACATACTGCACCAGACTATATTTACGGACGTTGACTGTTTGCTTTAGGCACTGTTTCAAGCATTGTACGATGGCCGAAAACAATAGTATTTGGTAACGTTTTCAAGTGCCATTTGGAGTATCCGAAACTACGACGCAATGTTAGTCGGAAATAACGTATCTAGTTAATCATGTTATCGCATGATGTTCTTGTTCATTGGCAAACATTATTTCAGCAGTCGATACGTCCTCCAAACTTCAGTAACCGTTACTATATAGTCCCCGTTCGTCACAAACAACCGTTGACATTTCGTCAACCTCAAATTCGAATATATTAACCGTTTACACGCACGAGAATATCCCTTTATCCAAACTAGCAAGTGTGTCTACTGTTTTCTTACTAGGCAAACAAAAGTTTGTCACAGCATGTGCGCAGTTCACTTTACCTATGTGCATTCATACTAAAAGCCATTCGTCCACAAGCAAGTTATTTGCGCAATTGACGTAAGCTTTCATGAAGGCCAAACCAATGCTGATTCGTCAATGCTGATTGTCAGCTTGAAAGTAAAGATGAGCAAAGTGGTTCAACTGAATCTTATGGTTGCAGTAGGGCATATTAGAAGTAAGTAAGTGACAAGTATGTGTCAGCAATTGCTTATGCTTCTTAACCCTAGATACTTTTGATTCAATCCTTTTGGTGATGACGTAATGTGGCAGAAAACAGTAGACACGCTTCATCTTATCGGAAACCCTGAATGATTGGTATTTGTGAGCATGTGTGCCTGTGAGTGTGTAAGGGTGGATGTGGGTGTGTGGGTATGTATGTGCGTATGTGAGGGTGTGCGTGTCATCTTACAAGTAATTTAGTGAATGAGTGCATAGGTACTAGTTTTCAAGTAAATACGTGCATGAGTGCATGTAGTCAGTGGTGTATGGAACTCGCATTGTGCCTGCCTGCTGCCAACGAAATATGCAAGCCCACACAGAGAAAACAGTTTTGTTGTGCGAAACTTCATGCTGCTGGCAGGGTTTACATGCAAGTCACATATTGCAGGTCTACCATAAGCAGAGCAATGTGACATCTGATAAGTAACTCACAGCAACACATACTCTGCATGTCCAGGGAAAGTGAGTTGTGCTCGGAACACATTGGCCAGACAGTTTTGTCCTATCAAATTCAGAATTGTTTTATCCTCCTCACAGTTGTCATTAACACTTCATGAGCACACATTATTGCTAGATCTGAATGCCAGCTGCCTATTGCACTGCTGGCACGTAGTTGGAGACAAAGGTGCCGCCAGTTTTCCACCTCGCTGCTGATACAATGCAATACTGCTACAAAATGTCCGTGTTCTGTGTTTTTAGTGTTGTATGTTTGTATATGTGTCTTGCGTCGTATGCGCATTACCTACATAAGTTTTAAGTGTTCCCGCGAAAGTAGGTACTGAATTAGCTCAAGCCAGGATTGCGTTGCGGAGATATTTGTAGCCCATACAATGTTTTATGGCGTCATTTACGACACTTTCTGTTTTTTCTTGTCATTGTATGCACGTGAGTTGTGCCGCATGTTGCGCTTGCAAATCATGTTCTCAATGCCATTTTCTTTTGATACAATTGGTCACCACTACACATCACTCGCATACACTCGCCCAAGCAAGTCGGATATCAATCACTGTCCAGAAGTGCATGATGCATTCAACCACGCATAGAACACTGGCACACCAAGAACATGAACTCACGCAAAAACGAGAGGACTATTACACGACTTCGCATTGGACACACCGCTATCACACACAACTACATCATCACAAGAAGCCCGAGACCGAAATGCAACACCTGCAACACTTTCATCACTGTCAAACATCTGCTACTCACATGCCCACAATACCAACACCACAGGACAAACATACAAACATACTGCAGAGACGCCAACATCCCACTAACACTCACAACACTGCTCGGGGACTTACACCCCGAGCTAACAACACTACTCATCCACTAAAGACACAACACTGGGCTGATAAATGACCTGTAAATCTCCTCCCCTAGAGCCAAGGACAAAAAAGCCAAAAAAAAAAGCCAAAAAAGAAGCCAAAAAGAAAAAAACAACATTCAAAACAATAAGAATCAAAATAAAAGACCCCAGAATGGCAAAATGGCAAAAAAAAAAACAAAAAACGAAAAAAAAAAACAATAGAAGGGGCAATCCGGCTAACCGGGAGGAGATAGCTAGGAACCCTGACCCACCTCTCAGCCCACCCTTACGAGCCAAGAAGACGACGGACACTTCAAGACAATGGACGGACCAACAACGAAGACGGACGACAGAACCGGGCCCAAATACAGAACGCTGTGGTGGCCCGTAAGCCACAAATACCATACCATACCATACCAGTGCATCATGCAGCAGAAGAAGCTTCATTGAACACACTCGTCATCATGAACGGCATCTTAGGAGCTTCATGAGTTTGGATCTGTGACCAGTAAGTGGAATGGGAGCATAATGGTACACGCTACCCAACCAGATTTTGTTATAAACAAAAACATTACGTTTATTACCGTTTGGAGGTGATTTGTTTTATTTGGTCATTGTGTCAATGTCATGTTTGATCATATAGGTAACGAAAAGCGTACCTATTCAAAACGTTTATTCCTTGTCATGATGTGCCTGCAGGTTGTTTTCGCAGTATCCAATAGCAACCGTGTATGACCAGGCGCCGCTTGGACGCCTTGTCCAGCCACGTCTTCCGGGACTGTGTGATGACTGCCTCTGCAATCTCAAGTGCCAGTTTCTGCCTCCGGCCTATTTCTTTATCAAAGGATGTTGGTAACTGAACGACCAGCTCTGCTCCAAGATTCCAAATCGTTTTACGGTATTTTATCCCTACAAAACGTTAATATTTGCTGGACGCGTTGATGCCCGAATAGGATGACCTTTATTCCTAGATACAGGCATTCAACGTTGAATCAATTACGCTTCTAGCCTTCTGTTTATTGGCTTTACATACTTTTTATTAATATTTATCATGTGTCTAGCCTGCAATTCATTTTACTCACCACCATCGGACGTCACAACTATAAGCTTATAACTACTATATACAACTATAAGCTATAAGCAGCTATTCGCTGACTTGACATATGATATTTTCGCGACGACTCGTTTCGCCCTTCCGCCATGTTAACTAATCATCCGTTACATCTTTATGTCAACAGGTATAGTACAAGTCATCCTTACCGTCGATACCGTAGAAGAATTTGCCGTCGACCACGGAACACATATTGTGCTTCCCGTTGCTGGTAATTTTTTATTTGTCACTTAGGTGACAGTTACTATAGTTCGTTTTCTTTTTAAAGTTCGGCCCTGACTGTAAACATCTTTTTGAACACAGCACGAGAATTACTGAGAAAATTGGTTAGCGCCCATTGATACCGTTGTGTTAAACGCGGTGCGATTTATTAATTAGTTCAGTTATCACTCCTGACAAATCGTCTATCCCTGTGGGGTTGTAAATATGAGCAAATACGAGCTGAGGGGTCTGGGAAATAGGAGCCAGAAAGAAATAACTTTGATAAAGTTTTTCATCAGTGAAATTCAACGTGCGACAACCATTTTCCTCTTCTTAGTAATTCAGCTAGCAATTCTCGTGCTGTGTTCGAAGAGACGTTTACAGTGAGGGTCGAACTTAGGACGAACTATGGCACCTATCAGCAGATATACGTTCATAATGCAACAAGGGAACGAAAAGCGTGTTCAAAACTTTAACTCATTGTCCTTATGTGCCTGCAGGCTGATTTCGCAGTATCCAATGGCAACCGTGTATGACCAGGCGCCGCTTGGACGCCTTGTCCAGTCACGTCTTCTGGGACTGTGTGATGACTGCCTCTGCACTCTCAAGTGCCAGTTTCTGCCTCCGGCCTATTTCATTATCAAAGGATGCTGTTAGCTGAACGAACAGCTCTGCTCCAAGATTCCAAACGTTTTTACGGTATTGTATGCCTACAAAACGTTAGTATTTTTTGAAGGCGGTAATACTCGGATGAACTGACCTATATGGGTGGGTATTCAACGTTGAATCAAGTAGGCTTGTAGCCCTCTGCCTATTGACTTCTAAGGGTTTTAGTAAAATTTATATAATATCTCATCTGATCAGCATTTTCACTCTCAGTCGTCGAAATTGAAAAATCATAAGCTTAGAAATCCGCGGACTTGACATATTATATTTTCTCGACGATTCGTTTCGACTTGCCGTCATGTCAGCTAATCATCCGCTGCTTCTCCTATTTTCACAGGTGAATTACCAGTCGTCTTTACCGTCGATACCGTTGAAGATTTTACCGTCGATCAGGGAGCACCCATTGCGCTGGCCGTTGCTGGCACTTTTTTATTTGTCACTAGCTATTAGTTATCTGCAGATATACATTAGCCACCTGTGCACCCGCTTACACAAGCTCTCAGCATCTAGTTCTACGTATGTGTGTGTTTGTTTTAATTGAATTGCCAATGAATTCGGTAGACATGCTCCGCCCGCAAACATGTACCACATGATGCAGTCCACTGAATGTAGCAGTTAATCTCTCGTAAAAAGCAGTCATGTTTTCGTATAGTGTAGGTTTGCATCTATGTAAGCATGTGTTCACACTCATGAGCGATCCACACATGATATTGCATTTCCTGTTCAGTTACATTTTTTAACACGATGCTCATACACTGCGTTGTTATCTTTCTTTTTTTTCGCCTGCTCCTTCCTCCAACTTGTGTCTTTGAGTATTTCAGTCACATGCTCAAACGTTCTTAAATGCTCTCGCCATCGGTTTACGCATGCGTTGAAAACGGACACGTGTTGACCAAATTTAACAATATGCGGACAATGGATCGACTTCTTGAAGCCTGTGGACGTGATAAACCTTCTCCATCACCATCAAGAGATCAACATTTTCGAAGACACTTGCGTACGGCTGGTATGTGTTCATATTTGAATGTCCATTGTCAACACGTTGCAGAATGCTTTACATTTTGTGTGATCATTTACTGTCCTCATTCCTACACAATGCCAACCTTGCCTATATTGCCTTGGCAAGTTCTTTGAGCACTTAATACTGGACTTGGGCTGCGAAAGCTAATGACAATTTGGGGAGCTTGATATTGCAATGGCTATGATGTGAATGTCCAATATGGCGAACAGCTCGACTATTCACCATTGTCAACGCTTATGATAGCTAAATATCATTTTGCTTGGTGTACATTCACGTCTCGTTTCCTTGCTCCATTTGTACCTCACCGGTCTTCCGTCCCCACAGGCTTCGGCTGCAGCACAAGCCACATTCATCGGCCCAATCATCAGTTATTCATCCTGCAAGTTTTAAGTCACTTCGTTGTGACCCGGACATCGTCATCTTTCAACGACTTCAAATGACTATTTCATTCATCATCGTCGATCAGACTCATCATGTAAAGACACTTCCATAATGCTATCTGCCATCTACGTTTGTGCAGGAAGCAAATATCAGGTTGTTATTAGCTGCAGGCTACTCAGTACCGACTGAACTACTGGCAGTAGTGTGCGAGCACCTAATACTTGTATTGTGATACCAAAGTAAAACGGATGATAGCTTAGCGCATAGCGCCCTACCGCTTTCCACACACACATAAACAAAACTTGACTTTGGGCATTAGCACGATGGCAAGATTAACAGGCAGTTTCGCTGTTTTTCACTGCTTTCATTGGCAGGTGTTACTGCTCATTCCCGTTTCATGTGATGTTAGAACAGCCTTCACCATAGTCCTGTTTTCTCCTTTGCCGTTTTCCATAGACATCCGATGCGACATGCACTCCAACGATCGGTCAGGCGCATCACCGTCAATCCGGTCGCCTGTTAATCAGTTCGTAATCACCGTCAGTCTTCGACATCTGTCAACACACTTGTTCACATTATCGCCTTACTTTTGATCTTATCAATATGCAAGAATGAGTGCAAAATGCATTGCAATATTGCATCAGTTGATGTTGTATCGCAATGACACCGCGTCCTCACCTCACATCTGTTGTGCATACTTGATCACGAATGCCAGTTATACGCAGATTCACATGGTGAAGTTTTACTCCGTTGACGTTTTCTTTCCATTCTTGTAGTCTATCAAGAGTGGTTACAGTTGCATATGCGGCCTTACACATGCGTCCTTACATGCTAGCTGATTGATATGTTGGACACATTGGTTCCTGTAACTCCAAGTAGTTCTGCATTGGTATTGCTTCACTTTATATGTTCTACCCAAAGATCGTTTCTAGTTTTGTCTTAGCTTGCAGCTGTATGCCATGAACATACAGGGTACTGCGCATCTTTATCGTGACATTCCTGTAGTTTCGTCGCTTTCGCGGATGATTAGGACCATGAGCTCAGTTGCAGATGCGTCCAGCAGCCACCGACATTTCTACACTTTAAATTCCTAGTCTCGGTTCTTATCCACATACCAACATGATTTGAACATTTCACACGATTAGTGATGAAATGAACAGGTATCATCTACTACATTATATTTTCATGTAAAGCACACTCCAGTCTGTGAAAAAAGAAAACCATTAGGAGCAACAATCATGCCTTAGACAGTATAGTTGCCATAGATATTATATTACGTTGTGTAGCGGGCAGGCCGGTGCACGAAATGGCGAGTGTGAATGCAGGAATGCGTGTGAAAAACTGCCTAGGTGTGGAGTGGCTGGTTTGTCTTCCGTTACATCGTAACGGGCTCTTGACGTAGTCTTTTTAGTAACACCAATCATCTTTCGAACTTGAATTAACGTAATTGAAAGTTGGCTATCACATTTGGAGCCAACTTATTTGCTAATTGCGTCAAGGGCGGGCAGCGCGGTGCGTGGATGCCTTTTGGTAAAGCTCACGTCCTAATATACTATCCTGCCCTTACCAAGCGTGCATCCATGTTTCCTCCATCCGGCTCCTCGTGCCGCTGCCTGGAATATTAGCCTACGGCTAATATACCAAGAGATGGAAAACTTTTCGTTGGTATGGAATATGGATGCCTCGTGGTTCAACTGGTGATGTTCAAAACAACTGTCCCGTGTGTCAGGTAGGTCTTACTTACTCACTTCCCGCTTCATTTTTTTTCGGCCGCGTCCAGTGTCGTAGAAATCTATTTACCGTGATTCACAGTACACGTATTTATCGAGAACATTATGAACAGTGGCTTATTACTAGTGTCGGAGCGCCGGGAGACGCGAGCAATGACGTCATCGATGACTGACGTCAGCCAAAGGTGATTAAATACAAAATAATACAATCCATTTTCGACTGCTGTGCTCCGTGACGCCATTTTCAGGCTGGTGGAGTACATAAATCGGAAACCATAGATAGACGCACGAGACACATTACTTACATTACAGGCTTTCCAGGTGTGTAATGTGTATGCACATGGAGACATATGTGGTCACCTTGCATACCTGGGGGGAGTTTTTTTAATGCTTCATGGCTGCTGCTGGACTTGTAATGATGAATACCCCAATATAATTATTCTTAGATTGTATGCCTCCAAATGTATGCATGTAGCTACTACTTACAACTGCATGTGAACGCTAAGGAGTTGTGCCACGTGTTGAAATCAGACACGAACTCAAAATGTCGGCAAAACAACCTCTACCTGGCACACCACTGCTGCGCTACTTTTTATCTGATGCATAATAAATCTATCTTACCTCTTGCTCAAAAGAAAATAATTACCTACAGGACTTGTCAATGTTAAAGCTGCTCGGATGTGAGTATATGACACGCAACCGTGCGGCGAGACTGGCGTAAAAATAGGTACGTCCATTCCGTTCAATAAACGCTCGATCATGACCCTGACCGTGTCCAGTGCAACAACATTTGCGGCTACTAGCACTCCGTTTTCATGGTTACTGATTAGCAGGTTCGGGAGTGTCGACTTGCGAACTGCGCTAGCAGACACACACGCCTTCCATCGAATAGGATCCAGAATATCGTTAAATAGGAAATATGATTTGACGGTAATATGATTTCGTGTAGTTAGTTTGCCACATTGATTTGTGCCGTGCACAAATCAGATGGGACTCATTTTGCACGTGCGCACGTGCAGGACGACGCTTCCAGATCTCGAGAACGGCCGGGCCGATTGCACTCAAATTCGGTACACTTCTAGAGACCGATCAGAAGGGTGCCGTGCACAAGTCAGTTAGTATGTATTTGCATGTGTCACGGTTTGATTGCAACTGCACGTGCGCACGTGCAGGGGTCGCTCCCAGATCTTAATATTGACTGGGCCTATTGAGTTCAAATTTGGTACACCGCTAGAGACCGGCGAATAGGGTCCCAACTCCCATGCACAAGTCAATTGGACACAGCTTGCACGTGCGCACGTGCAGGATGACGCTTCCAGATCTCAAAAACGGCCGGGTCGATTGCACTCAAATTTGGCACACCGCTAGAGACCGGTTAGTAGAGTGCAGTGCACGTCAGTTCGTAGCACACCCACTCCGGTCTGCACGTGCAAGGCTCATCCTCTCGTTTGGCGGCGGGCGTTTTTGCGGCGTTACAGAGGTGCTTGCTCAAACAACCTGCGGTCCCGCGATGCGGAGCCCAGCATCGCAGATGCTGGTTTACAAATGTGATGGGTAACGGCGCAGCGTAACCGCAGGTTGTTTGAAAAGACAAACACTATTCGTTAGAATTGTGTTTTTCTATTGAAAAACAACCGGAGCGGTCCTTCTCCGGGCTATGTTTGGCATGGTTGGCAGCGAATTGGGGCAACTTGATTGGGGCCTAAACGCGTCGCTCAATCTTCGTAAAAATTTCAGGGTACGGGCTCCCGGCGGTGATCTACCTGATGGCACCGGTCGCTACTCGCTCAGAAATCTTTTGCGCGTGGCACGTGCAATTCCATTTTTCCCATAGTAAGTCAATGGGGCTTTGAGACACTTTTTGCGCGATCGCGAATGGCGGAAAAAATAGCCGTAGAAGGGGTGGTTTGGTTCCCACCGTCTCGTAGCCCACACGTTCAGGTGCACGCCCGTGTGCGCGGTGTACCCGTCAGAACTCATTAACTTGAGCTGCACGACTTTGAAGTTGAACTTTTTTCGCTCCCCATGTAAAGTCAATGGGCGTTTTTGCAGAGACATTTTCATTCGCTCATTGTACAAAATTATATGATACGATTTTGTTTAAACTTGCAGGACTTGTTGAGAACAGGTCGCAGAACATGTTGTGATGCTTCTTTAAGCTGTGCAAATTCGTTTCTTCTTTTTAACCTCGTTTAAAAAAGAAAAAATTTAACATGGAAAGTCAATGGGAGCGTCTTTGTTGCTTAATAACTTTTTACAGTTGAGATATATTTAAGTGAAAAGTTGATAGGTTATACAAATTTTGATGCTCTTTCCAGTGATATATAGAACGTCATTGCACGTTGTGCCGTTTTCGAGAAATTTAGTAAAAAAGCACGACATTACCGAGATTTGAGCTCACACCTATTATGGCCTTGGCTCAGACAGTATACGAACAGGTGACAGGGATACCTCCCATAGAAGGATGCGACACGAATTTAATGCTAAATATTAGCGGCCGGCCGCCGTGGGGACGTTTTTGCACGACTTATATCTCCGCAGCCACTGGACCGATACACTTGCGGTTTTTTGTGTGGGGTAGGGTATACCCTTCTTACAAGTATTTTACTATGCACGATGCATGCGGGTGACCCCTACTGCACGTGACACGTGTACAGCGGAGAGGTGTCACTTTTGTTGTAATGACAATACCACGGTAATTCCTGAGGAGATTCTGCTGAAACTACACAAGTGTAGGCGTCTATCCCCGGCCGCTGGCGTCAGAGGCAAACGCCGAACTCGGAGCCAACCAAGCGTGTATCCAGCACAAGCAGACAACAAACAAATTGAAACGCCCTAGAAAGAAAAGACAAACAACTGTCACAATCCCGACACATACAAAGCCGGCACGAAATATCAAAACCCGTTATTAGAGAATGTGAAATAAAATAAACAGTAATTATCACGAAAGTTGAAACCCACCGTTCAAGCAGGCGCAATCCAAGCACATCTCGATCCTCGCCATGTCGCGGCGCACCGAATTCCCGCTCTGGACGCGACGGGGGCTCAACGGAAATTCGGCTGCTCTCTCATTGGTCAGAATAAGCGGTTACCTGATTGGCTCTCGCGTGGCGCGCAGCTACATCATTGGACGAAATCATTACAGGAAGTCTAAAACTCTTCGGATAAGAAATATGACACATAACTAAAGAAACATTGGTACCGATCAATATCAAATAATAAAATAGTCATTACAAATCAGTATCATAACTAAATAGCACTAAACACGCGACAACAAACCAAGGACATTATTGCAGCGCAGGACGAATTTAGAGTTGCCACTTTCACTTCTGGTAGGCCCAGTATCCGCTCGCATAACATGTAAGCGGAAATCCGCTTACACCCTTCCTCCCTAACGCGAAGAAACTTCTCGATTATTTACACATACAAAACGCATCGACCTACGAACAAAGGAACTTTTTTTTTTTTTTTTTACTGGACGGCTAAACATGTTCGGTCTCAACTGAATAACTCCGTATTGCAGCTCAGCTCGTGCGCTTCTCCATTCGCTAGAGAACTACCTAGGTGCCCATTGTACAGAGGTAACACTAAGGCTCGCTTGCAGCTGTTCTTACTACGATAGGAATCTCAAGTCAAGTTATCGCCCAATGTCATTGCCTTTCACCCAGTATTAAACATTAAAAACGACAGCAGCACACAGCAGCTCTGTGTGATAGGTACCCACAACGGAAAATCACGGCGAATACCTGTCGGGAGGAATGACTACTCGTGTTGACCTACGCAATTCGGGACTGCGCATATCTGCGGTAACCTGAGTGTTCGCCACGTCGGGCGGCACCTCTGCTGCTCCAGTCGGAGCTGAACCTGCTATCGGTTCTGCGACTCCCTCTGGCGTCTCACGTGTCTCACGCGCTGTCTCTGTCTGAACTGGGAGTGTCTGCGGGGCGAAAGATATGGCGAACGGATTCAGCAGGGACAGGGCCGGCGGTCCTGAGTCGTCAAGACATAGACCCGGGAACAGGGGGGGCAGCGGGGGCGCTTGCCCCCCCAACTTGAGAGCCGAGGGGGCGGCGCCCCCTCAACATTGAGGCAGCGTGAAAGGATCTTTCCTCCCTTTTCCGGGCTTCTTTCCTTCTTATTTCCTTTATACATCTAAACATCAACACACGGCATTTTCCTAGCCATCTGAATGGTTTCTGCTGATACAGTATCGATTTGACAACATCTACTAATTGCTATTGCCATCCCGCTTAGGTTTGGGCCTGGCCTTGGCCATAAGTTCGGCAGGCCAGATTTTATACTGGACCATTTTGAGTCAACTTTGAGAAATACATAACGTGCAACGGTGGTAAAATCGTTGTTATTATAGGTATAACACAGTTTACCCGCTCCGGGTGTGAGGGAGGGGTGTGGGGCAATGAGTGCACTGACGTGGCGCCCTCGGAAGTCCGGTATGGGATTAAAGCT